TGCCGCCGCCGGAGCCATGGACCCCGCGGGGCAGCTGGTACGGGGCGAGGGGCCGCGGCCAAGCCCCAACTTCCCGGCCACCCGCAAAACTTTGTGCCGCCGGCAGCCCCGGGCGGGGATCCCCGGGGAGAGGAGTCCCGGGGGAGCATCGGGGGGATCCCGCGGGCGGGAATGGGGGGGGCCGGGCGGAGCCCAGGCGACATTGGAGGGATCCCGGGCAGGGGATCCCTCAGGAAGAGGGTTCCCAGCAGGGTGTGCGGGGGATCCCCGGCAGGGGACGGCAAGGGGGGACCCCGAAGGAGGGCTTGGGGGGGTGTTGTGCGCCTGGGGAAGGGCCCCAGAGAAGGGAGAGCCCCTGGGAGCAAGTTGGGAACAGGTCCTGGGGGGACGTCACTGTGAGCAGCTGCTAGGGGAGCCCCCCGGATGGAGGAGGAACGGGCCTGGGTGCCAGGAGGCTGGAGCAAGACCCTAGGTGAGTGTCCTGCTGCGGCTCAGGTGGGTGCTCGGCTGCCAGGCCTGTCTGAGACCAGCTCCTCGCCCCTGGGTCCGGTGACAGGGCCCCTCAGAGTCGTCTCAGCCCAGTTTCTGGGTCTCGGCCTGGTGCTGGACCCAGCCCCTCACAGTCCTCTCAGCCCAGGTTCTGTGGTACACTTGGACTCGGACTCTGGAGCAGTCAGTGCATGACAGAACTTGGGTTTGGATGGACCCACACACGGAGCTGAGCCACCCTCCTCCCTCACATCCCCCTGTGGCCTGGGACTGGGGGATCCAGCATGGAAGGGGGCACCTCTGGCTTCTCTGGATCAGGACAGGACCAGACACAGGCTGCGCCAGGCTCTCCGTGCCTTTTCTGTGGGTGAAGAGATCATGGCACTATGTACCCATTGCAGGAGGTCACCCTAGAGGGTTGTATCATTGTCCTGAGTCATGGTGCCGAGAGGAGGGAGGGTCCCTGGGTCCCGTGCATACCGTCATATAGCCCCTAGCTACACACTATCTTTATCTCAGTTTCAGGAGCCATCGCTCTACACAGTCAAGGCCGTTTTCATCTTGGACAATGATGGGCAGCGACTCTTGGCCAAGGTAAATGCCACCTATACCAGAACACATCCTTAATTCCAGGCCTCTGGCCTCCCAGTGAGGAGGGGATTTGGTAGGAGCTCGTTCCTATGGGAGGGGCAAAAAGGAACAACAAAACCAGGAGCATCTGGGAAGCTAGTTTCTCTCCCATGTGGTGCCACCATGTACCTGAAAAGGTATAAAAATAGTCATGTAATATGTGTAATAATCACATCCTTGGCAGTGTGGGCCAGCTTTGAGGTTACCTGTCAGGATTCATAGATTCATAGATGTTTGGGCTGGAAGGGACCTCAGCAGGTCATCGAGTCCGACCCCCTGCCCTGGGCAGGAAAGAGCGCTCGGGTCAGACAACCCCAGCTAGTGGCTTGTCCAGTCTCCTCTTGAAGACCCCCAAGGCAGGGGAGAGCACCACCTTCCTTGGAAGCCCATTCCAGAGCCTGGCAATCCTTACTGTGAAGAAGTTCTTTCTAATGTCCAGCCTAAATCTGCTCTCTGTCATTCCTGTATTCTGTCCTTAGTGAAATGTAAGCATGGGCAAGTCAGGGCATTTTTCAGTGCCTCGGTTTTCTCATCTGTAAAACATGGAAGATTCATCACAAGTCCATTGATAACTGCAGCTGGAGAGCAAGCTGAGCACAGGGGGCTACTGGTACAGATGCAGTAGGAGAGTCAGGACCTAGATGAGAATTTTAGTATCTTAAAATTATCTTATCTCCCAATACCTAGAACTCTGCCACAGATCTGCACTACGGCTTGCCAAAACCAACCTTTTCCATGAAGCTTCTAACTATATTTATCTTTCAATTAAGTGTTAACAACCCCCCCAAACACATGACATTAGTATGACCAGCAACAAACAAAACTGATCAGTCTGTCACTTGACCATACCTTTTCCTCCCAGTTGAAACTCTGAGCCCTTTAGAGTAGTGTCTTGTCCAGAAAGCTGTCTGTAAAACACGCAGTAATTTTCTTATTTTTACAGATTTACATAAATTTCCCTTTAAAATGAACATCCCCTACAGCATTGTATTTTCTGATTCCTCCTCTGATAGGCACAGAGCAATATTAATGCTGGCTGGGCAATAGGCTAGTTGATCTAGTAAGTTTCTATTATTTCTTGTTTCTCTAATTGCCTTGAAGCTCACAGGGAGATTGTTGCTGATTGTGATTTCTTCATTATTATCAGTGTTTACTTGCATTGCTGGTGTGCTATGGGGTCCCAGTCATAGAACAGGTGCTGTACAAGCCCAAAACAAAAAGATCCCCTCTACCCCAGAGCGTCACAGTCTGCATCCAAATGTTGATGGACTAAAACCAGGGAGAGTGTGTGGGGAGTACTGGGTACCATGACAGACAGAGCTCTCCTAACACCTACCCACTGTTAAGGGTTTTATAGGCACCAGAGTGAGGAAGTGTGGTAAGGAAGGATGTGAAGAAAGGCAGTGAGGTGGCTTGGGCATCCTGAGATAAACACCATCCCAGATCTGTGTACATGATGGTTTCTTAGCCAAGATGATTTTTAAAGTAGCTGTAGGAGGCAGTCATGGGGCTCTGCATTTGTTCTTCCTACATAACTTGCTCAATATTCATATCCCAAGGTCCAGTCATCCAAGGTCTATTTCCCCAGTATCTCTCTTTACTTGTCAGTATGTCTACGCTGTGTCCCTGGCATGCCCAGATAGGGATACAGGTTTTCCTCGCCAACCATGGTTTTGAGTATCCATGTTTAATATTCTATATACCATTTTGGCTACCATGGTATACAGTTTTGAGTAACCACGGCTTTCCGTGGCCGTGAATCAGTCCGCCACCTGCCATTTTTCCCATAAGCCTTTTGTCTTGCCAACAACAGTTTTGTCAACCACGAGAACTTTCAGGAATCTAACCCCAGTGGTTGGCAAGGGAAACCTGTATTGCCAAGCACTCCACCATGACCCATGTGCATGTGGCAGCTGGGAATCTGCTCCCAGGACATGCCTGGGTGACTCTTGAGGCTTCTTTCTCTGGTGTGTTTGACAGGGGCCATGAAGGGCAATGCCCCCACAGCAGCTTCATAACTTAATTGTTGATTTGGCTCATGCAGGTGGGCAGGGCATGTTCAAGAGCAGCTCTCTCCAAGAGCTCCAGAGAGGTGGTGTAGACATACCCTGTGTGCCCATACCATGGGTTCATCCTGCTGTAACTCTCTCACCTTTGTTCTCTGCAGTACTATGATGACACCTTTCCATCTATGAAGGAACAGAAGGCCTTTGAGAAGAATGTATTCAACAAAACCCACAAAACTGACAGTAGGTAGTGAAGGTTTGGGCAGGGGTGGAGAAGGCAGAAGGGAAGGATGAGCCTTCAAGCTATGGGCTGCTGTGGAGTTTGCCAGCAGCTGTTCATTCAAATCATCTATTTGGAAGGTTGGGATATTGCAGGTAGTGCCCTAGAGACAATGACTGTGATGGGAAAGCAAAAAGAAACCTGCCAGGACTGCACTATATTATCACAACAGCCAGTCCAGGAGCTCTACAAGAAGCAGTTGTCACACCTAAGATCCTATTTGTAGCTCAGTCCCAGAAAAAATATAGCACACTGCAACATGTTTTCCAAGAGTGGGTAGGAATCACTAAGAGTTAAAACAGCCCTGGTTCAGTCAGTCTTTGCACCCTTCCAGAGCCCCTGAATGCACCAGGGCAACTAAAGTTGTGTGCAGGTGCCTTAGAAGTACTGTTGCTAGCTTGGGTACCTTAAAACTGCTGCAAGGAGAAGTGAAGTCAAAAAGTCTAGTAGGCATATGATGGCACCCGTTGAAAGTTGCAGGTGTGCTGCCTGTAGGTCCCAGCTTCCCACCTCTACACATGTCCTTGGGTTACAGAGAGAAAGGTTCAGTGCCAGCCTAACACTGCCCCCATATCCCTTTTTTGCCATTGTTTCAGGTGAGATTGCCTTTCTGGAGGGACTAACCATTGTCTATAAAAGCAGCATTGACCTCTTTTTCTATGTGGTGGGAAGTTCCCATGAAAATGAGGTAAGCGCCTCCCTGAGCCCCACACCCACAAGAGCATGAGGGAATAATGAAATAAAAGGTGCGGGGCAGGCATTTCAACACAGAGCTGCTTCTCTCTGCTTCTTTGACCAGCTTGGTGGGAACAGAGAGTTCTAGTTCCTCTAGAATGCCTTGAATGAGGAGGACCCTCCACACCCTCAGACCCTTTCCTAAGGATAGAAGGCTTTGTCTTCTCTCATCTGCCCCATGGAGACGTTGAGAAAGACACATCTTTCCCAACTGGGGTGCTTCTGGGACCCCAGTGCATGAGTGCTTTTCTAGGCCACTAATTGGCCTGTAGACATAGCTGTCTGTCTCTGGGCATGGCTGTCTGTCCAGCTACTAGGACTGCCATTTGTTAGGCATCCCAAGACACTTCACCCAAGCCTGGGAAATGTCCTCCCAGAAGGTACCAGGGGAGCTTCTTATAGAAGGGGTTGGTGGGAAAAGACATGTAACTCTGTACTACCTTCATGGGCTACTCCTCTTCTTCTAGCTGATGCTGATGGCTGTTCTCACCTGTCTCTTTGACTCTCTCAATCACATGCTACGGTAAGTACCATAACTCCTGCCAGAGCTCATGAAATTTCCCCAGGGAAAGGTCCCAACACCAAAACTAGCCCTAATAACAACAGCCAAGGGTCTCAAAGCTTTTCATAAGCATTAATGGACCAAGACTCATGGCCTTAGATTGAAAGCTGCTGAACTCAGGGGTACCTTTCTCTGCACTGGGTGGCTTGACCTCCTTTTCAGAGATGGAGAAACTGAGGCACAGAGCAGGGAAGTGATCCACCCAAGGCTGCACACAGTGAGTCAGTGGAAACCCCAGGAGTCCTAGCTTCTATTCCATGCTATAAGCACTGAACTGCCCGTACTCTGGTGGCTAGAAATAGAACCCCGAAACTGAACTCCTCAGAGTTGTTTTAACCATTAGATGTCTCTGCTGGGCAGGCATCGGTATTAGCTATCTGTTCCTGCTTCCTCCCAATGCAAGAACCTCTGCTCACATAAGCAGCTGGCATTGTGCTGCAGGGAGGGGAGAGTAGGCTGGGAGGCAAAGGAATCTCTGCAGGTATGCTGGGACTGAGCTATCTGGAGCAGCAATGTGTCTTGGTGGCTGGACAGGGAACATTCTGTCCCCGCCCTGAGCTCTCCTGGAGTCACTGGCTCATTTTATCCCACCCACAGGAAGAATGTGGAGAAGCGCTCCCTCTTGGACAACATGGACGGGGCCTTCCTGGTGGTGGATGAGATTGTTGATGGCGGGTATGGCTATGCATGCTTTTGCTTGGGTATTTTGCTAGGAGAGGAGAGGGTTGGAGAGAAGGGCTAATTGCACATTAAGGGGAGAGAAGCCAAATGCTCAGTCAGCTGCTTATGGTCCCAAGAGGAATAGCAAGAGAAAATGTTACCAGTTCAGTGGTAGCAGTGGGCTTTGATGATGCCAGTTCAAATCCAGCCCATGCCATTCTTAATCAAATACTATCTGATGACTGTTGGGGGACTTACGTGAAATCAAATTGGAAAGTCTCAGCCGAGCTCTTAGCAGGCCAATACTCTTATCAGACAGAACACTGCTGCAGTATGCTCTTGTTAGCCATATCCCAACCTTGATGCTCACCACTAGCAACAACACTCAGCTTGTAAGGTAGCACTTTTCATTGGGAGATCCCAAAACCATTTTGCAAAGCAGGTGAGGATCATCATCCCTGTTTACAGCTAGAGGAACTGAGTCATGGAGCATGGCAGGTGTGTATTCAAGGTCACCCAGATATGTAGTGGCAGAGCTGGGAATTGAACATGTGGCTCCTGAGTCTTAGTCAACATGCTAAGATAGTGGTAGGAAGCTGAGTTTTCCTCATTCTCGCAATAAGAAGGTTTCAGTTTTCAGGATGGCCAACCTGGCATCATGTTCCACGTTTAAATCCACCCTCCCTGAATGTGCAACATGAAAGCACCTTTGAGAGACAGACCTAATCTGATGGGAAAATCCTGTTACTCTTCTTGCTGTTAGGGTGATTCTGGAGAGTGATCCACAGCAAGTGATCCAGAATGTGAACTTCAGGGTAAGCCCTCCCCCAGACCCTGCCCCTGTTCTCTCTACCAGGGACTTTTCTCCTTTTGAGCCCTTTGCTCTAATCTTCTTCCTTTAACTCTTTCCATTCCAGACAATCTCAGAGCCCGCTGCATACGGGTTTGTTCTCTTTGATTACATCGCTGGTAGGTCAGAGCAGAGTGAATCTGTACCTCCCAGGTGCTAACTAGGCTACAGTCAGCTGTGAACCAGGTGTGAGGCCACTTCCTTCAAAGCATGTCACGAGTTGCTGTGGGGCCATCTGCTGAGCTAGGTGGAGACATAGCATGTCCTTTCTGCATGTTCCTGGCAAATCTGGGGTGGCAGTCAGGCTTGGAAGGATTATGACTCCATTAGTAAATGTGATTCAGTGTCAACATCTCCCTCCACCCAAAAATCATTAACAAATGATATTTACACGCATGAGACATAAAGAGACAAATTTTTAGAAAGAGCCCACCCACATCCATTTAGACACCAAAATACAAAATTAAGTGGACAGTTTATCCAAGGAGCTGCATAGTGTCAAGCACTTAAAAAATGGCTATAGACTGTCAAAAAACCAGGGTCTCCTTTGCCTTCAATCTACCTGACAGTTCTGCATATGAAATATTAATGACCCCATACAGTTTTTATCATCCAATCACTTGCAAAGCTGTATTGTTGTTAGGGTTTTTTTGATAAAACAGTGACTGGTATCTCTTTATTTCCTGCCAGGGCAGACTTTGTCAACGAAAACACACACATATATTCTCGGAAATAAATGTTGCTAGCTATTGAAATTGATTTAAGCTAATTGAATCATTCCAAGCCTGTAGTACTACTTTGTGCTTGCTTTTGGACATGTCTCATTTGAATTCTGGGTCAAAGGAGAGAGATAAATATCAGCAGAAGCAATGCTAATAGTGTGAAAATTTCATTGCCTTCTAAGGAGTTGCCAGTAATACATACATACGCAGACTGTGGTTACCTCATGAAGTTTGTGACAAAACAAAGCATGGTTCCTAACTGCATGGGGGGTGACCATGCAGTGGCTTTCTATGAGAGAGCCATTTGGTCATTATTGGCTTCTAACATGGTTGTCCTACTGTGGAGATGGGGTAGTTTGAGTCAGGTGTAACCAAATTAACCAGCCCTTCTGCTTCCTAGCTGTCTGGATGGGGAGATATCCCAGAATGCATTGCATGCATGTAAAAACACTCCTAGTTCTGTGCTATGGAAGCTGAGGCATTGTGAGATAAGCATGCATGTTTCCCAGCATGTCTTGGCACATGATAACAATGGAAGTGCCACTGAGGTTGATGCATAAAATGCAGTTATTTGAAGATACTGAAGGTATGTCAGTGCTGCAGCAATAGAGGGTACAGTCTCTTTATCAAGAAAATAAGCCCTTCTCACATGCTCCCACTCCTTTTACATATAACAGAAAGGACATGGGGGAACTCCTTGAGGGGTGTCCTAAGCTGCTGTTCACGAACACTCCAGAAACCTGGGGCTTAAGCATGGTGCTGGGTCCACCCCTCAGGGCATGCTCACTGCTTCATTTCTGGGGTTGATATGGGGGGGGAAGCAGGAGCAGGTAAGTGGGTTTGTCTCCTCTGTAGTGAAAATAAGCACCCTGCCACTGCAATGCAGACATAGCCTGAGCCATAATCTCTGTAGCAGAGCCAGTTGCCCTCACTGAGAGCTATGCTGGACATGGCTGTAACTGTAGATTGTCAGGGCCTGTGATACACGTGGAAGCAGCATTGGGAAGTGGACCATGCAAAACCAACTTCTCCTACAGCAACTAATCTGCATTGGCATGAATGGAGCGTCGGAGCCTGAAGCTGCCCAGGCATGTTGCTAAGCAAAGCAGGGGCAGTTCTGTTTGGTGGCAGAGTAAACAAATGTATCAGACAGGAATATATCTGTGTTTCCTAATCCACTCCTTCCAAGACTGCTGGAAACAGCTGTGACATGAGGTACTGCTATCTCTGTCTCTCCCTCTTCGTGTTTGTGTAAACCAAGTGGTGGGGCAGAGAATGGCATGGCCCCAAACTGCTGGGAATGGTTGGGATTCCATCACCATGATGTCATGCATAAGGAGCTCAGTGGGGAAAGA